ACACACAAACACACACACACACACACACACACACACACACACACACACACACACACACACACACACTGGAGCTAGGATTTGTCTGACAGATCCTACTGTCCTCCAGAATGTTCTTGTGGCTCTTGTGGAGACTCACAGAGACTGGAGAATCAAGAGGGCCTTTGCTTGTATCCCAGGTGACCAGAAGAACATCAAGGAAATTCAAAGGAAGGGCTGGCTTGGGAAGTCAAGATAAGGAATTTATCTTTAGATGGCAATAATGGCCAGCATTTGTTATTGCTGTTTTTAAGGCAAGGTCTCATATATCCCAATCTGGTTTTGAACTAGCTGTGGCATTGAGGAGGACCTTGAATTCTCCATCCTTCTGTCTTCCCTTGCCTGGGGCTGGGATTACAAGTGTGCACTGCCATGTGTAGCTCCTGTTTGTTTAGCTGGGGATAAAACCCAGGACTTCATGCGGGCTAGGCCAGTAAGCTACCCACTGAGCCCCATTCCCAGCCCGACGTTTTTCACACATGTGCCTTCCTGGAGCATCTCACAGTCTACCCTCCTTGCAGACAAAGTCAGGTCTGTGTTTTAGAGACGACTAGATTCCAAGTGGTTAAGGAACTTACGCAAGCTCATGTAAGGGCTGAGCAAGGAGCCAAGACTCAGACACAGGCCCCAGGAGAAAGTTTCCTGCATCCAGCATTCCTCCTCACAAGTTAGAAGCAGATGGGAAGGAGGCATATGCAGTCACTTGATGGCATTCCCATGCACTGGCCGAGCAGTGGCTGCAGAATGCCAGCAGCCTCACCAGTGACCTCAGAATCTCTGGGATTCCCCAGGGCCCGGGTAGTCTGTGCCTCTGATCCTTGTCACTCTGCCTGCTGCTGGCCTCTGCATCTGCACGCTCAGACCCTCATACGTCTCTCCTCTGCTCCTTCCCAAATGCCCACCCTACCCAGGCTTGAAGGGACCTATGACGGCAGCTCCTTCCTTCCCTCCTCCTTCCTGTCTCTTCTCCGCTCTACTCATGTGCACTCTCACAGTACGGTTTCCTATTCTTTCTCCATTTGAAACTCCTCCCCATCTGAGAAACCTGTACACATCCCCCGTACACAGGTGTGCAAAATAACTATACAAATAAAAAGTACTGATAGTAGGTCAAAACGTGTCTTAAAACAACTTTTGGTGGACTTATTTATAATGTACCACTTAAGGAGGTGAGTGTTAATTGTCCACGTGACAAAATCAAGAATCATCTGAGAAATAGGACTTTGAGCCCAACAGGGATAATGTTAAAGGATGGGAAAACTTGTCCATTGTGGGTGGCGCCATTCCTTAGGTAGGGGATCCAGGACTGTTTCAGAGCGGAGGAAGTCAACCCAGCACGCGTCTGCATGCATTAATTCCTTCTCTGTGCCTTGACTATGAGCGCAAGGTGACCAGCTGTTCAGACTCCTGCTGCTGTGACTTCCTTGAAATGACTGACTGTGACGTCAACTACAAACTATAATAAACCCTTACTCTCTTTATTTCCTGTTGCTTTTTTTCAGTATATTTTATCACAGCAACAGGAAATGAAACATTTATTAAAGATGAAAGCAATTTTCATATAAATAAGATGGGTTGCTAGTTTACTCACATCTTGACTGAATGGCTGATATTTTAGATGTAGAGTGTTTTCAAAGTTGATTCACATTTTGATTTGATAATCATTATTTGCTGAGAATGCTGTTTCGAAGAAATGCATAGTCCAAAATGACAGAAAAATAATTTAGGGTCATTTTAGAAATAGTTGGAAATTCTAACCTCATCCCAAGCCAAAATTCACTTAGTTATTATTTTTTTTAATGCAACTCAAGTCAGTAACTCAAGCAGCAATTTTGAAATCAAACATTCTAATATAATCTAATCATCGAAAAATATACTAATTTGATACTTATATACTGGGGAATAATGGTAGGAAAATATCAAAAGTTGTTTTTTTTTTTTTTCCGCCTATAAACTACCATACTTCTATAAGAGCACAAAACTTTGCATTCTTAAGAAGAATGCAGCCCATAGCACACAGGTCTCAAATCGAGCCGACATGCTTCAGGTGGACTGCATGGTTCAACAGCACATACGATGCCAAGCTACTGTGTGCATGTTGCATGTTTGGTGGCCAAGCTGCAGTGATGTCAAGAGCAACAGGGTGATACTGGCCAGGGACACCTTAGAGTCCCAGTGTGACTGACTCTGCATTGTTGGCAACTGTGTGTTGCCAAGTTGTTTGCAGCCCTCACATGCAGTTACACAACCCAAAAATCTAAGAGGCTGGGCTCGGAAGGACACAAGCTCCTGAGTGGCTTCTCAGCAGGGGTTCCAGGAATGCTTTCTCTCTTTCTTTTTTAATTTTTAAAAATGATTTTATTTTTATTTTATCTGCATTTATGTTTTGCCTGTGTGTATGCCGGTGTGGTGGAGTCAGATCCCTTGGATCTAGAGTTACAGACAGTCGTGAGCTGCCATGTGGGTGCTGGGAATTCATTGAAACCCAGGTCCTCTGAAGAGTGGCCGGTGCTCTTAACAGCTGAGCCATCTCCCCACACCCCGGCCCCAGGAATGCTTTCTAAATGAGTGAGTGAATGCAGAGAACAATGGGAGGGTGAGTTGCTATGTTTCCTCTGTTTTTGAAATGCTACTGTAGGGAATGTTTTAATAGGGAAATAGCAAGTATGCATTTCTCATCTGTATCAAACAATTCACCTACCCTAGGGCATGTACAGGGTGACAGAGAGACGATTCAGTCATTAGTTCAGGAAGCTGAACGGACCCTCTCATCTGACAGGTGAGGCCTGGAGAAGGAGTGTGTCTTGGGCCTGTGACTCACAGCCACAAACAAAGGCACTTCTCAGACACTCAGCTCTCGGTCTTGACGTTTCCAAAGTTTCATTCCCAACTGAGGAACTGAATATGACTTCCCTGGAGTGACTGTAACTAGAACAGTCAGGTCATCTAAAAGTTAGAGGTGTCCTGAATGTACTCAGGGAGGGCATTTCCCACCACCCACCTCAGGCTGCTGCTGTCATGCCCTCTGTGGGTCCCAACTTCCTCCGCTTCCTCTTTCCAGCAGGCGGAAGGCACCAGAAGGCCCGAGTAGTCTTTGGTCCTAAGGCTCACCCAGGCGCCCTGGGCTGGCTTCCGCAGAGGGCTGTTGTTCCTCAAGGCCTTCCCGTGATCTGCATGCAGTGGGCACTCCCTGATAGATTATCAGGAAAAGCAGGGAGAGAGGCCTCCCTCAAGCCCCTCTGGGTTACTGAGCCAGATGGCTGCTTGCATCTGCTCTGGAAGACCTGACGGCCTGTTATTTGAAAATGTGTTAAGTACAGGAGGCTGGTGGGTCGAGTGGAGGGATGGGCTAGCAAGCCACACAGGGCGACTTGAGCAGCAGTGATGGGTGGCCATGGATAGGAGGGTAAAGCCCACAAGGACATATGGGCACTCCAGAGAGAGCGGGATGGACAGTGGACCTTGTGTGGTGACATGATGTCATTCTCCCCCCCCCCCCACCTTGTCACCTCTGCCTCCTCCCACACCATTCCCCACGTTTCTGCAGTATTCTGGCTTCTGACTTGGGAGGAGAATTAGGCTGTGGATTACAGGGCCTGCGTGGGGCTCACTCTGAACTAGGGGGCGCTGCAATTCTCCTTGCCCCTTATAGGGAACCTTGTTTCTAAAAGAAAAGTCCTATCTGGGGGTACATTTGGGAGGAAGCAGTGGACAGGATTACGGAGAGTAGAGAAGACGGGACTGTCCCGTGGACTGACTGATGGGGGTAGGGGAAGACTTCTTAAGGAAGGCTGCGGTCGGTCACACTCGGCACTGTATTTTCGACAGTAACTGACATCAGGCCAGAGGCTGGGTCTCCTTCAGGAGCAGGAAGCTGACACCTAGTTAAATGCATCCCTGCTAAACAAAAATGACCTGGGAAAGGATTTTTAAAACTTCTCCTTTATTAAAAAAAAAAAGGCATTTTTTTTTCTGAGTTTTAAGAACTTCTCTAATAACATAAAAAAATTTCCTGCCACTTAGCCCTTCTTTCTTGAGCCCTTTACCCCTGCTCCTGGCACAGTCTGGCCGGGAGACCCAGAGGAAGAAACGCTTCCGCCTTGCGCTCAGGAGCTGGAGGGTAGAGCGTGAAAGGAAGGTAGGTTACTGGTCCAAAGGAGAAGTTCGTTTGCACAAAAATATAAATTGTGGAGGATGAGACCAGCACATACATGTATGGATTGATCTACAATCCATATAAAAAAAATAAGACCCCAAACTGTCATTTTACATTTGTAATATTATACAAAATAATATATATTTTAAGACAACACACACCCACCTGCACACTCTCTCACACAGACATGCACACAAACACACACAAGGTGCTAGCGGCCCCCTCAGCACTTCCCTTTGCAGGGGTCAAGCATGTCAGTAGGCGAAGATGACGTGGTAGGTGACCTGGTGGCCGTTGTCCCAGGCATAGAGGAGACGGTCCTTCGGGTTGTAGTCTATCTGGGTGGTATAGGAATACTCATTCTCGAACAGCAGCCTGGGGACGATCTGCGTGTTGGTGTGGGTGTCGAAGGCGTAGGAGATGTTGGCGTTCCGCTGGTTGTAGCTGTCCACGGCATATAGCACCCCGCAGATGACAAAGCAGTTGCCGTAGAAATTCCTCCTGAGCCCAGTGCGCCACGTGGTCTCCTTCTGTGTGCTTAGGTCCACGGCATTGAGCTTGCTCAGGACAATGACCTCCTGACTGAAGCCCTCATCGTCCAGAGCTGGGTAGATGAGCCACAGGCCATTCTCATCCACAGCAAAGTCCACGTCCGAGTGGCCCTGCCACCGCCAGGGGGTGGCCTCCTCATAGGCCACGTCATGGAGCATGGCCCAGGCAGCTACGTAGCGCTGCTTCAGGTCATACTTGATGATGTTTCGGGTGAAGGCCCGGTTGTAGTAGAAGGCGCCGTTGTACACCACGTGACCCGTGCCGATCCAGCTGTACGGAAGCTTGTAGGAATTGCTCCAGCGACCTGTGGTGGCAAGAAGGTGGGACGCTTCAGGGCGGCACTGCCTGTGACGGAACCAGCTATGGACTAGGGTCTGCACACCTGGCCGGAGTTGTGTCTTGGCGCTACCACTTTCTAGTGACGAATGATGTATGTATTGTTTCCTGTTCTTACCCAGCATCCTCCTGAAAGCGACAGCAATCCCACCCGCCTCCCTGAGTGTTCAAAGGGTCCCGCACTCATCTACCTGACTGAGATTTTGTAAACTGTTGGAGGCCAAGGGGAAGAGAGGATGTTATCTAGCCTGGCTCAAGATCTTCCATATCCCAGGAGCTGCATGGGGAGTGTGTGGGGGGGGGGGAGGATAGAGAGAGTCAAAGAGGTGACCACCCTCCCAGGAAATGCCCTTTTGCAGTCCATAGAGAATGTCCTGCTTCTCATGGACCCTCACTGTGCCATCATCAGAGGAAGAGGGGTAATGAGGCTGGGGAGGCACTCCCCACATCAGAGCCCAGCCACAAACCTTGTTTGAAATTCTCTAGATTTCGGAACTCGACCAGCGTGTTGCCGTAGTAGTAGTTGGTTACATAAATCCGGTCATCCTTGGCGAGGGGGTCCTTCATCCAGGCCCCTTCATTCCGTCCGTATGTGTTCTGGGTGGTGGGCCCCGTGATTGTGGAGAGGGTGTCCTTGCACCTTCCTAGTGGAGAAGAGATGCATGGAGGGGCTGGAGTGATCTAATGACGCCCTTCCCCTTAAGTTTCTGCCGGCCCCTCCGGCCGAACTCTTGGCAGCCTTTAGCAGTCCGGAGTGACCAGGCATCCCAGCATCATCTGATGCTGTTCCCACGGTGTAGTCTGCATTCTATCCCCACAAAGCTGCCCACAGTCGTCAAGGGGGGGGGGCCACGGTGATGCCACCCTGCCTCCATCTCTTTGATCCTATTCTTTAATAGGCAAAGACACAAAGTCATTTTGGGGTACCATGCCATCTCCCAGAAAGCCATTCTGTCCTGTTCTGCTGATCCCTGCTACCACAGTACCACACACATACCTCTATTACAATACACACCTGTGTGAGTGTGTGCGCGTGTGTTTTAGTGAGCAGGGATTGAACGCAGGGCTTCATGCACGCTAGGCAAGCACTCTACCCTGGGCTAGTCACCAGGCCAGGAAGTACCTTCTCTACCATGCCCATATGTCTCTCTCTCTCCTCTCTCCACATCCACCCTAAGAGTATAAGCACCCAGGGAGCAAGGGCTATGGCTTTTCCTGTGTTCTCCGAACTCAGGACACCAAGTCTCTGGCACACCCCAGGCGCCAGCAGATGGTCTGACACTTGAGTGTGGGGATTGGGAACAGAGAACAGTGTCAGCAGAAAGGACTCTGACAGGCACAGCCAGGACCACACAGCTGTACCCCACCAGCCTGGGGCAGCTCTGACTAGATGGTGGGTATTCACGTCCCTAGGGAGCTGTTATCAAGTCCATGGCCTGTGTCCCCACCGGGAACAGACTGTCTGGAATTCCTGCTGGGGAGTTGGAGGGGCAGGGCACCCATCAGCTTTGCTTGTGGGGCCCTTCTTTAAAGTTCCAGACTTCCTTAGTAGTCAGGAATTCAGCAATACTCCTCCAAGTGGCTCTTTGGAATGGCCCAGTACCCAGGAAAGGCCTTCACAGGCCACTAGAACTACTTAGGACTCTGGTCTAGATTGCATTGAAAATATGAAATGCTTGATATGGGACATTACCGAGCATGGGCTTGAATGACACTGAGGTCACATGCAACTTCCAGAGCATGCACTCTTCTACCCCTGGATTAGTGGGCCCTGGAGAAAGGGGATGACCAGAGAATCATCCTCAGACCCCCCTAACCACGGGCATCAGCTGACACCGTCCTACCTGCCATGGAGACCAGTGGCCCTGGTGAACAACAGTGATGAGAATGATTGGTTCTTGACACTTGGGACAAAAATGAGATAGGCCTATAGTTTGGATTGAGGGTTCTCGAAGTTTCAGGTGGTACCATGTCCAAACGGTTCCAGTCTGTTGCATGAAATCTGTGTTCCAGTGATCTGAGTCAGGAGGAACACAAGGCCTCTAGCTAACAGGGTGGGAAAGGGCAGTCGTGCCTTGGCTCTGGCTCTGGGGCAGACGTCGGGTAGAACTGGGTTGAGCAGTGTGTTCCAGGCAGGCCTCACAGTTAGGTGTAGATGGCTGGCTTGAGGCAGCTCTGAGTGGGGTTTACCGAGTTTGACAGAGTCGGGAGAGAGCTGCCTCCATCTGACAAACAACAGAAACCACCCACCAGCCTCATTCCCTCAGCTCTGAGCTCATTTGTTCAAGACAATAAAACAGGAGTCTCCAGCTGAGCCTGGCAGCAGCCGCACGGAAAATATCTCATTTCCTGGCACGAGGCGGGACCGTGAGTGCCAGTGGAGAAGCCACACTCCCCCGCACTGAGGTGAGCCCTCTCGTGCCGTCCCCAGGCAGACTACTTCCATGTACCTCTTTCCTTGACAACGTTCCACAAGGACACCAGTTCTCTACCAGCCATGCCCTGAAGCCCCACAAGCACCGGATGAGGGAAGATGTCACTGTCACGATTGTCCCGGCCATGTCCCATCTCTCACTACACAGTAAGTTACTAATGGCTCTGGAAGCCAATACGGATATTTAACAAAACGCTTATAGGGTCCCATCTCAGCCCTGAGGTGCGCAGTAGCAGGGCCTTAATGTCGGACTATCAATATGCTTGGGCTTGGAGCTAATGGCCTCCAGTTTGGCCCGGCCACTAACTCCAATGTCTGTGTTGCCCCCATGACGGCACAGAACCTTAACTTCTTCACAGTGCACAGCGAAAGCACCTGGAGAATCCACCCTGACAAGAGAGGGTAGGCTAAGTGACTGCCCTGTGACCATGAGTGTTAACTGTCACCTTGGCAGAGTATGGAATCTTTTAGGAGACGAGCCTTTGGGCTTGCCGATGGGGAATCACTGTGATCGTGTTGAAGTGGGGTGACCTGCCCCTGTGGGTCGTGCAGCGCCATACAGACACTACTCTCCGCTTCCTGGTTGCGGATGTGTTATGGTTAGCTGCTTTGAGCTCTTGCTGCCTTGATTTCCCCTCTGTAAAAGGTACCTTGAACTGTAAGCTGAAGTAAACCGCCTTCCCATTAAGTTGCCTTTGCTAGAGTAATTTGTCACAGCAACAGAAAAAATAAACCAAGACAAGCGCGCAGAGATATCCAGGCTCTAACCCTTTGGACTCATGAAAAGTGACCTTCTATGGCAAAAAAAAAAAGGGCGTTGTATGACTGAGTCAAGAATCTTGAGATTATCAGGGATTATCTAAGTGGGTTCTGAATTTCATCACAGCTGTCCACATACCAGTGAAGCAGGAAAATGGGCTACGGGAGAGGAGGAGGCACTGTGATTGGACTGATGTGGCCACGGGCCACGGAATGCTGGCAGCCAGTGGACTCTGGAAAAACAAGGCATGGGTTCTCCCCTGGAGTCCCTGGAAGAAACTAGACTTCTGACACCAAGGGTTTAGTCCCATAAAACTGACTTGAGACTTCTAGCCTACAGAACTGCTGGAGAATAACTGTCTATTGTTTCTAGGCAGTAGTCTCATGGCGGGTTGGCAGAGTGGGGATGGATACAGATGAGGTCAGTTTCTGGAGCAAGGGGAGGTGTCCGTGCTTCTGTGGACACCTAGGAGGAAGAGGGGATCCCAGCCTGCAGCGGTGCAGTGCTGTTACCTGGTCCTCGTGACAAATTGCGATATGTCACTGAGGTGCAGAAAACACTACAGAGTGGATGAGTCTATGCAGGAAGGCAGGATTGACGTGCATGGCTTCAGAACATTTGAAGACAGGATCCAGGGGAGTTAGGAGACCACGAGGCCCAGACATGTCACCATGCTCAGAATCTGGGACGATTCTTGTGATGGTTAATATGGTCAATTTGAATGGACTTAGAAACATGGAGGAGACAAGCCTTGGGCAAGTCTGTGAGGGATTATGGGACGATCACCTTAACTGTGAGCAGGTATCATTCCACGGGCTGGGGTCCTGGGCCAAATCAAAAGGTGGAACCGAGCTGAACACGAGTATCCATCACCCTGTGCCTTCTGATGCAATGTGACCAACTGCCTCAAGATTCCGCCATCATTACTCCCCACCTTCCTTCGAGGGAATCGCACCCTCAAATGCGAGCCCAAATAAACGCTTCTTTCCTTAAGTTTGCTTCTCATCAGGTGATTTGTGACAGCAATGACCCAAGTCACTAACATAGTTTCAAAGCTCCCACCATGGGCACAGACCATCAGCCTTAGCAAGAAGGCAAGAGATAGCAGGTGATCCACGGACCCTCGGGGAGGAGAGCTCTATCTGGGCCACTCTTGGTCTCCCCGGAGCAGGGCTACCCTGGATGACAGTGGCAGACACTCACATCCACTGAGCACTCCCTGGTCTAAACCACTTGCTCATCCACAGTCCTTCAAGGCAGACAGCCATTACTGCAAAGCATACCGGGGTCCGAAGGGAAGGATCCTCCCCCTTCGGTACACACACCTGCTGGCATGTCGTATCTTAGATGTCATAGCTGCAAACGTATGTCCCCTGCTCCACTGTCAGCTCGATAACTGGCCCTTCTGTGAGGTGCTCCTTCACCCCACAGGGTGTCCCCTTTACCGTGCCTACATGCTCTGGACCTCTCACTACCTGCCGCCTTACATGCTTGCCACGGCCCCTCAGGGATATTGTCATCCTCCTTTTCTAGCCACGCCTCTCTTTGGGTCAGACGCGGAGGGCCATCTGCAGCGTCCCCACCCCCATCTCAGGAAAGCAGTACAGGCCACTGTCTCACAGTTCCCACTGCATCCCCAAATGTAACTTCTCAGACCTCTCTCCCCCTCCCAGGTGCTTCATTTGCTACCAGCTCTTACTGAAGACTTACAGCCCAGTCTGGTTCTCCAACACGGCGCATCCAACGGCCTACTTGACACTTGTCCCCGGGTGTCCTTCTGCCTCCTCACACTTGGTTATTAACGAGTGTACTCACTTGCTCCCGTCCACATCCGAAGCCACCTGTATTTCCTGACACGGTGCAATACCCCCTAACCGAGTCAGAAGCTTGGGTGATCCTGACATCTTCGCCTCACACGCTTCCTCAAGTGGTCTGTGAGCTGCATCCCTTCCCTCTCCTCCTCAGCCCCTCCCCAGCCCTTCTCCTCCACCATAGACTTGGTTTAGATCTGCCTGCCACTGGCCTGGCTCATGCGCGTGACACCAGATCCCTTGCTGATCCACCTCCGCCTCCTTCCAGCCTGCCTACTCCGGACAGCAAGCGCTGCTTCCCACAACACACATCTGCGTTACCCCTTAGTGACTGGCCATCTCTAACTACCGCATGAAGCCCCACGTTCCCATCCTAGCCTCTCAGCCCTCCAGCATTGCCATCCCTACTTCTTCTTCCTCCGCCCCGAGACAGGGCTTCTCTATGTAGCCCTGGCTATCCTGGATCTCACTCTGTAGACCAGGCTGGCCTTGAACTCACAGAGACCCACCTGCCTCTGCCTCCCGAGTGCTGGGATTAAAGGCGTGCGCCACCATCCCAAGAAGCTATTCTTACTTCTTACCATCGCTCTCTATTCAGAAGTCTTGACTCAACTGCTTCTAGGAGGCGAGCAGACACTA